GTTTTTAATATATTATAAAAACTTGTGTGATTTTTTTTTAAACATTTTCCCAAACAATTTACTTTAGAATGAAACAGATAATTTTTTTACACACTATTACGTAAAATTCATGAAAAAATACGGAACACTATACGAACGAAAGTTTTATAACGTTCAACTGTGTAATGTACAACACCTAAAGATGTCGCATACATAGGTGTTCCCTCTTTGCCTCTTAAACTGTGTATAAGTCACTTTCTGTGCCGAACCAAATACAAGTGTGGAGTGTGTACAAGTGACCACTCCTAATCATGAAATTTTTTCCAAAGTGCACTTAACGATCTTATTATCATTTAAAAAAAGAACGTTCTTTAAGTTTGTATGTTGGTGGTAATTAATTGTGATATGTTGATTTGATGAGGAAAAATAATTCTTCCGAGGTAAGCAAGCACGAAATGCCAGTCAGTGAACGTATATTTTGGGCGTTGACCGCAGACTTTAATCGGGATTCACAACACAATGATTTCTTTCTCAATTTCATGTATAAAGGAAAATAAACTTTTTTATGTGTTGTAAAGTATCACGCATAGTTAATTGTTATGTATTGTAGAAAATGTGGATCTGGATTTTGGTATTAACCTTCGCTTGCGGGAACGGCCAGTTCTCGCAAGATCCGATAGAATCGACGCGCACTCCTTGGAACCGATTTGATGATAGAGATTCAACTGGATTTGGACTACGAAATTCTGGCAATCCAACTGACAATATTATCATAAAAGAGGCGTAAGTTTTATGGATAATAATTATACAAAAATGTTGATGTATTACAGTTGCTTTAGAAAAACATGATTTATACATGTAATATTGAAAACGAATAATTTGTTTATCAATTTATTTGTAGTACTTACTTTGTGGTCACATCTAGAATGGTTAGACCAGGACAGATCTACCGTTTAGCTGTAAATGTCTTATACAGTCCAATACCAATGATGGTACGTGCATCCATTCAAAGAAATGGTGTGGAGATTGCTGCAGATTTTCAAGAAGTGAAGGAAGGCATACCAGAAACTTTAATGATGAGATTGCCACCTACATCTCTCAATGGAAACTATAAATTAAGGGTAGAAGGAACATTCAACAGTTTAACTGGTGGTCAAGCATTTTTGAATGAGACCAAACTTATATTTTCTCAAAGATCAATGACCATTTTTATTCAATTGGACAAACCTGTATACATGCAGGGAGAAAGTGTGAAATTTAGAACTATACCTATAGACACTGAACTCAAAGCATTTAATAATCCCATTGATGTATATATGTTAGATCCATACAGAAGAATAATGAGAAGATGGTTAAGTAGACAGAGCAATTTAGGAACAGTATCTTTATCATACCAACTCTCTGATCAACCTGTTTTTGGAGAATGGATTATACAGGTGATAGCACAAAGCCAAGTTGAGGAAAAAACTTTCATGGTTGAGGAATATTATCAAACACGTTTTGAAGTTAATGTTACAATGCCAGCATTTTTCTTTGACAATGATCCATACATATATGGCACAGTTCAAGCAAACTATACCAGTGGTGCTCCAGTGAGAGGAAATTTGACTCTAAAAGCAAGCTTCAAATCATTGGATAGAATACATACAGAATCTGATTCTGAACCTGCAGAAAGATACTTCTACTTTGATGAGTATTATCCTTCCTGGTTAAAAGTATCAACCTTTTATGAAAATACAGTTCCTGTACTAAGATTTTTCAATGGAACATATCATTTTCGATATCCAATGTCAGAATTATTAAATTATGTGCCTACTGCAAGTGGAGTGGAGGTTACTGTGGTTGCAACAGTTGGTGAAAGATTTTTGGAGGAAATAATCACAGGATACTCTTCAGCCCGAATTTTTAATTCTACCACGAAAATACGATTCTTAGGCGGCACACCACAAGTTTTTAAACCTGCAATGCCATTTACTGTGAATTTAGTTGCGTCGTTCCACGATAATTCTGCATTAAGGGCATCACAACTGAAAGGAGCTGTAATGGAAATTCGCGCGGACATTGACATGAAAACAGGTGGTCGTAGAACACTAGAAACACAATATCTAAAACATACACCAGACAACGAGGATATTTGGTCTACTAAAATTGATCTAAGAAAACAGCTTGGACTTGAACATAATGTAGATCAAGCTCAGCAAATTCTCAATGATATCGCGTCCATGAAAGTCTTCGCCTATCTAACTGACGGAGAAGGATTCAGAACACAAGCTGAATTATTGTTACTCGCTCATGAATCACCAAATCAGCAGCATATCAAAATCTTGACATCTACTGAGAAACCCAAAGTCGGAGAATACATGATATTCCATGTTCAAACAAATTTTTACATTGATACTTTCAACTATCTAATTATGGCAAAGGGTATGATACTTTTAACTGGACAGGATAACATGCAACACAACATAAAGACGTTTGCCGTGCCTCTCAGCGCAGAAATGGCGCCTGTTGCAACTGTTGTTGTATATAATATTGGACAGTATGGCAGCGTTGTAGCAGACTCTTTAACTTTCCCAGTAAATGGTATTTCACGCAATAATTTTACTGTATTCATTAACAATAAAAAAGCCAGAACAGGTGAAAATGTTGAAGTAGCCATTTATGGAGAACCAGGAGCGTATGTCGCTCTTTCAGGTATAGATAGATCTTTTTACACGATGCAAGCTGGAAACGAATTAACGTACGCCAACGTGATATCAAAAATGGCACGTTTCGACGAAGAAACAAACGGCACTCATTCTCATACTTGGTTATTCCATGAAGGCGACCCAGATGAAAGCGTTCATTTCCCGTCTTCAACGTTTGGCATAGACGTTAACAGAACATTCGAATACATTGGATTAATAGTCTACACAGATGCCTTTATTTATAGAAGACCCGATAACTGCAATGCAACTCAAGGATTTGGAGAATGCCTCTCTGGAAGATGTTACAGATTGGATAAAAAGTGCGATGGAGTGTTTGATTGCGAAGATGGTACTGACGAAGCGGTCTGTGAATACAGAAACGCTAGTGACGTAGCACTCTTTAGAAAATGGCGGTTCAATAGGCTACAAAGACAGTACGAAAATGTCTGGTTGTGGAAAGATATCAATATAGGTCCTCATGGTAGACACATTTTTAATATCGATGTACCAAGAAGACCGGTTCACTGGATGGTTACGGCGTTTAGTATGTCTCCAAGCATAGGCTTTGGCATGTTGCCCAAAGCCATAGAATACATGGGAGTTTTGCCATTCTACATTAATGTAGAAATGCCCACTCACAGCAGGCAAGGAGAACAGATTGGCATTCGTGTCTCGATCTTTAATTATTTGCGTTATAACATTGAAGCGCTAGTAGTGTTGGCTGGTTCTACAGATTACAAGTTTATCCATGTTGAAGATAATGGTATTGTACAATCGTACAAACCTCGGACGTCTTTTGGTGAACATCAGTTCTTCATTTGGATCCATGCTCAAGATGCTGCTATTGTCTACCTGCCTATTGTACCAATAAAACTTGGAGATATCAAAGTGCACATTTACGCCACCTCTGTAATTGGAAGAGACTCGGTTACACGTAATTTGCATGTAGAAGCTGATGGCCTTCCTCAACGCAGACATCAATCCATTTTACTTGATCTCAGTAATCGTGCCTACGTGTTCCAATACATGCACGTTAACATCACAGAAACTCCAATCATACCTTATGATGAAAATCGTTATTATGTATTTGGATCGAATAAGGCAGTTATAAGTTTGGTCGGAGACGTGGTTGGGCCAATTTTCCCAACAATGCCTGTTAATGCTACAAGCCTCATGGATCTTCCTATGGACTGTGCAGAACAAAATATGTTCAGTTTTGCGGCTAATCTGTACACAACATTGTATATGCGTTTAGTTAACCAACGTAACAGAACGCAAGAGAAACAAAGTTTCCATTACATGAATATTGGTTACCAAAGGCAACTGTCCTTCATGAATCCTGATGGATCATTCAGTCTATTCCGTAGCGATTGGAATCAGTCCTCTCCAAGCGTTTGGCTAACAGCATACTGTGCTCGTGTTTTACAAGAAGCACGTTTCTACGAATGGGAGAACTACCTTTATGTCGATCCTGATGTAATTGCCCAAGCTGTGTCTTGGATATTGAAACACCAAACACCTGAGGGATCATTTTATGAAGTTACGTGGTTACCTGATCGCAAAATGAACAGCTCTCTAAATTATAATAATGATATAATAACTCATAGAAACATCAGTCTTACAGCTCATGTTCTTATCACACTGCAAAGTGTGAAAGATTTGCCTGAGGGTTTGGGAACTCAAGTTGCTGTGAATTCTGGTAATGCAGTTAAGTGGTTGGAAAGAAATTTAAAATTGTTAGAGGAACGTGGTAAACCATATGAAATAGCAATAGTAGCATATGCTCTGTTGTTGGCAAAAGCTTCTACTGCCGGACAAGCTTTTAATATTTTATCCAGACACGCTCGTAGAGAAGGAGGTTTGACTTATTGGGGTAGAGAACCAGTGCCTCTTCCCCCTTACAAGCTGGAAAATCAGAAACCATTCTTACTCCCACGTTTACCGTATCCATATGATTCTGAAAATATTGAAACTACTGCATATGCTCTTCTGGTACACGTTGCACGACAAGAAATAATGATAGAACCTATAGTTAAATGGCTAAATGCTCAAAGATTGACTGACGGAGGTTGGGCCTCCACGCAAGACACTGCGTGGGCGATGAAAGCTTTAATGGATTATACAGTTAGGTCTAGAATCAGAGATGTTAGCTCGTTGACTGTTACTGTGGAGGCTACAGCTCTTCCAGGACAGACTAAAACATTATTCGTTAATGACAATAATCTTGCTAGACTTCAAACTATAGAGGTAACTTTATATTTGAACGATTTATAAATTTTTCTTCTCGTATTAATTTCATTTTTCTTATCGTAGATACCAGAAGCATGGGGAACGGTAAAAGTACAAGCAAAAGGTGCCGGATACGCAATTCTGCAGATGTCTGTACAGTATAATGTGGACATTCCGAAATTCCAAACACAACCACCTATCAGGTCTTTCGATCTTGTCACAAGAGCAAACTTCCATGGCAGAAATCAATCTCATATTTCGTACCTCAGTTGTCAGAGGTAAAAATATTAATCTTTATTAATTCTACTCATTCGTGCTTGAAGTATATATATTCTTTGCACCACAGGTGGATAAATACAAACGAGTCATCCCGATCTGGAATGGCAGTACTAGATGTAGCTATTCCAACAGGCTACATAATCCAACAACAAAATTTAGACAAATACATCCAATCGAAACAAGTAAGGAACCTTCAGAGAGCAAGATTCCAAGAAAAGAAAGTTCTTTTTTATTTCGATTATTTGGACCAAGAAGAGACTTGCGTGAACTTCACCATAGAAAGATGGTTCCCGGTTGCAAATATGTCACGTTATCTCCCTATCAGAGTTTACGATTACTATGCACCAGGTGTGTATATATGACCATTACTAGTTTGTAAATATTAATGGTCTTTTATTTAGAATTTATAACACTATTTCAGAGCGTTTCAATGAAAGTATATTCGATGCTCTGCCCACGTACACGCTAAATATTTGTGAGGTTTGCGGCAGTTCTCAGTGTCCATATTGTTCAATTTACAATACTGCCACCCTGTTGGCCGCGCCAACGGGTTTACTGCTCACAGTATCTATTCTGGTTGCTCTAACGAGATATTTTCGAACACAGGAATTTAGTGTTGGATAATCTCGATACCTAACGAACACAAATCTAACGAAAAATGAAAAGGGAAAGGTGAATATCCTTGGTTTTCATATTTTAATTAATATTGCCATGTTTTTTCTTAACATTAACTCTCTACTGCCGTCCTTAAATTTATCGAGTAGACATTTTGGTGCAAAAAACTGGAACCGTACCTGGATAAAGTGTAAGTACGTGTATCTTTTTGTGAAGAGATTTACGAAGTTCCAGATTTTCTTTCATTTTCAATTGTTTTAATCATTATATTTTATCGAGTTATTCATGAAAAATCCGTCCATTTGTGATCTGTTGACGTATATGACAAATTTTATATCTAGCGCACAAGTATAGATATCTTAACGAGACGCGTATTTTTATACATCTTTTAACTTCAAAACATTCAATATTTTATACATATAATTTAAAAAAAATGAATGTCTCGCGTTCTTATTCACGTTGTTGATCGATGTATATCGATTTTTTCAGATATTTTTCACTGTTCTGTACGTAGTTAACAATCTGAGACCGTTTACGTAGTTAGAGCAATGTGTTCTAGGAGGCAAAGAGTTTCAAGTACAAATAAACCTTAGTCGAAATCAAGTTTTTATAAGTATGGCACACCAAAAAATAATTCTTCTACATCTTCATAGTAATACCTGCTTAAAACAATTGATCACATTTTTTTATTTCATTTAATTTAAAAAAATTCAGGTTTCCAAACTTGTCTTTATTTATTTCTATGCTTGAATGTCTCTCCTGATTTAGATCTGCCTATTAAAGAATTCTACGCAACTTTTCTGTTCGATTTATGAAACTTTAGCCGTGCCAAGGTTAAGTATTATTAGACGAACTATAGGCACTATTTTACTTAAAATTTGCATTTACAACTTCAAGTATCGTGTTCACAATTTGTGCCTTCGTTATGCCCCTTGAACACTGTTAATTTGCAAATCAAAGATTTACATTCCGCTTAAGAAAAGTTGCTATTGGTCGGCAATCTGTAAATAGTAGGTTAGAAAGAAAAATTTTACGAACACAAACATCATTCTAGCACATGCTCACGTATAGTACCTTTCCAAATGAAGAAAAAATGAAACGTGAAGCGTATGAGGCGTTCAAATATATTTTGCCTCTACAAAGAAAACTTATATTCTTTTGTATAGTTATTTGTCTGTTCGAATATCAAAGATCTATTTTTTAGTAATATAGCACTTACGATAAGGTAGCGTATTAACTTGTAAGTTTTTAAGATGTTTTACGGCTGATACTTTGAAAATATGCGACATCATTTTATAACTTATTAATTTACAACACCACAATTTAATACTCATTTTTATCTCCTTTTAGTTTATTTAATCGAATGAAACAACATTTCCACTATATTAAAAATAAAAAGATTGATACACGATCAAACATGTACTAGAATGTTGTCGCAAATTTTCAAATGATATTGTAATATTTAATAACGTTAATAATACCGTCCATAAAAAGACCTACTTTATAATAAAACAGTAACATGTATTATTAATAATTCGTTTAATGTACGAGCGCGTGCAGTACCGAGTGATCTACCACTAAACTGTAGATCATGGATCGTATAATTTTTATTCGAGCACAACGTATCGTAGCATACGTTAAATTATTTGTAGATCTAATTTTTATAAAGCTGTTTGCTCGCTCGCGTAATCCGTCCGAAGATATATTTAAAGCGTCAAAGAGAGAGTAACATTTAACGTATGTTGAACATATTTATAAGTTTTATAATCTTTATACAAATAAACAATAAAAAAAACTTTATGGAAACTAAAGACATACGACCTCTGCTTATTTCTTATTCCAGCAACTTCTTTATAGAAACTTATTTTTTCCATGGAATTTCTAAATGCTATCATCTCCATCTGTATTACTGGTTGTAACTCATTATTATTTTATATTTATTTATTTATCATTGCAAAATCTATAACCGTAACGCTTTGATCGTATTTTCAAACACTAGTGTTCATGGCATGCTAGCCAAGTTCATCGAATATTCGTAAATAAATATAAAACGAAAAAAATTTCACAAGCAGGTGAATAGAGTCGATGATAGCAGTCGTTATTTTCAAAGCAATCTTTAATATAGCAACATAGTCAGTCTTACAATAATAAGCCAAAAATACAATCTATATATCGAGCTTCTGGAGGACGGGCGAAAAATGTTTTTGTTTTCCTTCGCGACATGCCCTTCGTGAGACCAGGAAGTGC